ATACCTTTGTTCTCGACAAGGTACTGAGCCCAACAGATGTACATCGATATGGGGTATCGACGTTGCACACAAGTCACTGCGCGCCAACCGGAGAAATTTTAATTTCTTCAATGGGTAAACCAAACGGAGACGCCCTCGGTGAATTTCTTCGTGTCGATTCCGCGACGCTCGAAGCGAAAGGCACATGGACCGTAGGAGAAAAGAAAGCAGCGTTCGGATACGATTTTTGGTATCAACCATATCACGATACGCTTGTCGCGACCGAATGGGGTGTACCTAGAATTTTTAAACGAGGATACGCTGTCACCGACAGCGCCGATCCTGGTTAGTTTACTAGCTACTTCTTCTTTTCTTGTTTTTACGTCGAGTGACCTTTTTATTAGAATTTTTAAGCCATTGTTACTTCGATTTTCAATATTTTGTACACAATTAATAAGTAGAAATCGATCGAGGTTGGTTGGAACGAACACTTTGAGATAATCTTGAGATATCTTCCCTTTCCACAGTGCTTTATGGCAGGAGCTTGAATTTTTATTCGTGGAGCGAAAGGAAATTGAAGCAAGTTGTGAACCTGGGCGACGATGGAATCGCGCCACTCGAAGTACGATTTCTTCATGATCCAAAGGCCAGCGTGGGATTCGTTGGATGCGCGGTTACTTCAAACGTGCATAAGTTTTACAAAACGTCGACTGGCGATTGGGCTGTAAAGAAAGTGATCCAAGTTCCTCTGAAGGAAGTGGAAGGATGGATCGCCCCACAGATGGCAGGTACATCTATTAATTATTACAATCATTCATAGTTTAAAACTGCGTTTGTGAAACTTTACTTAAACTTAAAAAAGAAATTTATACTAAACTAAATTAAGGAAATAGTAATTTAGTATTTTACCTATGACTCGCCACTCTCGTGCGTAGGAATGATAACGGACATATTGATCAGCCTGGACGACAAGTACCTCTATCTATCCAACTGGCTTCACGGTGATATTAGACAATATGATATTTCCGACACGGATAATCCAAAGTTAACCGGTCAAGTATTCCTCGGTGGCTCGATTTTAAGTGACTCGAACGTTCGTGTAACTCGAGATGAGGAACTGGGTAGCCAACCGGATCCAGTTCATGTCAAAGGCCGAAGACTCGAGGGATCACCGCAGATGCTTCAATTGAGTCTCGATGGAAAACGTTTATACGTGACCACTTCCATCTTCAAACCGTGGGATCAACAGTTCTATCCTGAGCATGTCAAGTACGCGCTTCCGTTTCGCTTCTTACAATTGTTCCCGATCAGTTCGAATGCTTCCACGAGTTGTTGCATGTCATACATGTATGTTTATACGATTCTATGTTTCTAGAAATGGTTCAACCATGGTCAAGTTAGACATCGATGTTCAAAATGGCGGCATGAAACTTGACGAACGATTCTTGGTGGACTTCGGCGCAGACAAAAATGACATTTTACTTGCGCATGAAATGCGGTTTGTGTATTTCATCATATTTCATCATACTGTTTAGTTTTCAGACAAAACTTCAAGATGACAATTATGATTTTCTCCTTTCAGTTATCCGGGAGGTGACTGTACATCGGACATATGGCTGGCGGAAGATTAATCTACTCGCTGGTCAACATATACATTTCTTCTTATTGAAACAAAAAATGATATATATTTTAAAATACTGAAAGAAAGTAGGAATAATCGTTTAATATATGGATAACAAATGTGGATAATAAATTATTTCTTTCTGCCTTTGAATCCATTTCTTTTTCAATGCTTCCGTTCTATTCCCATCCTCCGTTTCTGTTTTTCCATACAATTTCCAAATGACAGAGGAGACTTTTCTTCTTGCATCGGTGTAAACTTTGTGGTTTCGAATGGTTGCAGATTATCATCAAATCGGGACAAAAAAAATTTGCAATTTTCTCGTTCCATGTAAAAAATTTTCACTGACAGCTGTACTTACATGAACTGAAATATACACCAAAGATAATTTAAAAATAAACAGAACAGCGATAAGGAAACGAACGAATGTTCACAAACTACGAACGTATAACCTTCGTATTTGCATTTGCCCGAAGGAGAACGATAGAAAGAAGCGACAAAATCCGATGAATGATCCAGTCCAATCCTTTCTTTTTCTTATCCCATCACTGAGGATACTTTTTATTTGTAAAAAATATAATAATATAATGCTGACGCTGCTGACAGTAGCGATATCTTCAACGATGGTAGTGGTGCTGACAACGACGAGAAACGGTACAGTAACAGTAACGATTATACAACAATGACGTTTCATATTATCGCAGTGGTAATTATCATTTATCTTAAATATAATGATAAACACGATAAATGAATGCAACAATATAACGTGTATAATGTGTGTGTATGTGTGTGTGTTTATGTGTGTATAACGACGAAAACGTGTCAATATTTTGCCAAATGATAACATAGTATAAACAATTATAAAAAAATGTTAATAAAAAAAAAAAAAAATTGTATAGTCCGATAAATTGGCAACGAAATGATATAATATTTAATCTAGATAGCGTAGGTAGAAATGGGGTGAATTTCGATTGTCTCGAAGAATTCGGTGCTTCTCGCGTGTCTTCATTGTCGTTCACGACGGCTGTATTGATCAAGTTTGCGCGAAACTGAACAGTTAACTCACAGCAGTTCAGCAATATAATAAACTTGATCGATTTCTGTTCAATCCAACCGAAAAGACAAATAGATCTCGATAAATGCAATACGTCGTTTCTCCCGTTTGTCTTCTTACACGTCTTTCATGATCTTCATAAACGTCATTGATAATTATATGGAATACGGCGCACTTCACCAAACCTCGAATAATCTTGGAACAAGTTGTTAAAGTCAACATTTTGAATTCGAATCGAAACGAAGATTTACTCATTGGCGAATGCTCTGCGAATAATTATTCCCAGAATGTTCACTTTAACAACTTAATGTTCCAGGATCATTCGAAATCCGCGAGATGCGCCACACTCTGGTGTGTATAATTACCACATGATTTCCGACAATGTACGTAAGTATGTATGTGTTTATGTGTATGAACGAGCAAGCACACAGCTCGTTTGCTATACATATAACGCGCACGCTACTTCACGTCTGAGACCTGGTGAAGTATCGTCAAAATCTCGTATCAATATTCCGCTAATAATTCTAAGTCATTACGATATTAAATGGTGGTCTAATTAGAGAATTCGAACTATATGTACAAAAGAACGTCATAATCTCTCGTCGGATAATGTATGTAATGTAGCAATTTTATCGATGTTTGGTTTAAGAGTTATTCGCTCGAGGTGATACGCTCATACGCTAAAAACTTTCTATCCTCGATATATACAATTTTTTTTTTTTCCTTTTTCTTTTTCAGCATATCCTCGAGGAATAACACGCGTGCGTATGATTTTCAACAGACTTGTAACGCACACGTGCAAACATTCGCAGGCACTCTTATTAATATGTATAACGCGAGCACGTTGTGCAAAAATTACAAGAATATAATTAAACTGAACAGGAATTAAACAGTTTGAGCCTAGTTACGTGTACATAAGTATATATATCACGTAGTTACGTAATTATGTATGACTGCAAAAAAAAATTTATGTTTCACTTGAAAGACTTATAAGAAAAACGACTCTTGTCTTTTCTACCAGTTCGATATAGTCATTTCAATCTCTCTTAAACAAAACGTTCATCATAGTACATAATTTCTACAAGTGAGAAATCTAGATGTAAATCCGTGAAATTGCGGATCTCATAAAAAAATTACAACCTAATGTACTTATGCTAGTAAGTATTATCTCGTTACCTTTAATTACTAACTCATCGATCGTTTGTACAGTTTGATAAAATATTGTGAATGTGTTTCAGCATCTGGTTGATTAAATGCGTTCTTATCTAGAAGCACGACAATGATCGTTTTTATTACGAGACCTTCATTTTTAATGTTTCTTTCCTCTCTTTAATATTTCAACACGTCGGGGGAAAAAGCTCATTCCGGGATCGAAATTACTCTCCTATTCTTTTCCCTCTCCACCTCCCCTTCTCTCTATGTATGAGTACACGCGCATGCTACCATGCAAGCAGAATAAATCGTACAATAAGTTGCGACGAGCAAATATCTGTTAAAACGTTGCGATAATACGTATTCGAAATTAATTAACAAATGCTTCTCGATGATTTAAAAAATATTCGCTCGTAATCTCTCCATAGGCTGACGGATGTTTCGTGAAAGATTTACACTTTTACGAATACAGCTAAAGAAGTGAAAGATTTGTTTCATCTACTGAAATACCATAGTATAACAAACATTGTAAATATTTTATATATTTCTGCATCTTACGTGCATTCGCTATGTATCCTTATCCCAATAAATTTTCCATAAATGCATAAAAATATCCGCAGCTTACAATTATTAGTTGTATGATTTACTCTGTACGTGTGCGCGTACACGGACATACATTGTTACAGGTATATGATGCGCGTATACACCTAAAATATTTGCCTATCTTATTTACCTATTTAATCAGTCATCCACCTAATTTGCCGTTGTTTCTTGCTTCTTGTTCAGTGGCGTGAATAAAACGAGTGGAGCGATAAAATTCCTTTTACAAGTTTACGGCTTGTAACGTGACGACGTAACGCGTAGTTATCCTCCAGGTAGTTACGGTCGCATCGAGAAATCGCACAGAGAGAGAGAGAGAGAGAAAAGAGAGGAGAGAGAGAGAGAGAGAGAGCATTATTAACCTAATAACGTGGAAACCGAAACGAGAACGAGAAGAGGGAATCGCGCGTCTGTACTCGCCTGTACGCGGTCGCGTTTTACCTTACAATCGCGTAATTGTCCGTGTTCGCGCCGGTGTCAATAGGGTACGTGAATGTCCCTGGAAGTGGCTCGTTGCCTGCAAATTTTGCAAACGGTGATCAAACAGATGAGACCGAGGAGAACGGCGAGGGCAGCGCCTAGGCCAGCTCCGGCCCATCCGGCGGAGCCAACGACGCTGGCCAACCCTCCGATACCGTTCCCAGATCCGGCGATGTTGCCGCGTTCCCCGACAACGTCAGTGCCGCAGGTCTCGATAGCCTCGTCGTTCGGTTCTTCGATCGTTCCCAGCAAACCGGTACCGTTGTTGTGCGTACTCTTGAAGATCGACCGAGGCTCTGGCATGGGGCAGTTAACGACACCGTTGCACACGAGCCTCGCGGGTATGCAACCGGCATCGCCGGGACATTGGAATCCGCAATATTCCTCGAGCTTCTGCGTGTTGAGAACGCCGGAAGCGTCGCGTGGTAAGTGATACAACTCCGTCCAGGCGATTTTAAACGCGGCTCTCGCTGGGGCCATCGTGCCGGTGAACTGAACGATCACAGTCGGCCACTCGTACTCCTCTTGCTGTTGGTCCGTTGGCAGCGATGATTGCGGCGTCGGCGGTGATACCGGCTGTTGCAAATGCGTTTGCGTCTGCACGGGATCCGCGTTGAAGTGGCCGGACTCGTGGTCGCCGGTCGTACGAACGTTCGGGGCGATCTGCGCCGCCGATATGATGGGCATTTCACGCACGTAACTAACGTTCTCGCCGCATATGCTGATGAACGGTTCGGCAGTGCCAGGCAAGAAGATCTCCAGCTTCCCGTCCTCGCAGGATCTCGAGGCGAACTTGATCTTGTCGAAGTGCAACCAAACGTCTCTGTCCCGGTTCACTCGTAATTCCCAGATGCATTTGATCGATCGGGGCGGCGCTACGTATCCGAGTGCCTCGTAGTGAGGGAATTCGATTTCGCCGTCGGTGGTCGCTGGCAGGATCGCTGGCCCGCACAGTGGACTGTGAGCGAACTCGTACCTTGCCTCGAACAACGGTGCCGATTGTTTGAAATAGCTGGCCGCGGCGTGCGCGCCGTCCACCAGAAGCTTCAACTCCAGTCTCTCGCCTCGCGAGATCACGCGAAGCACCGGCTGCCGTTCGCTGTTCGGTCCATTGACTACTGTCGATCGACAGATACAATGGCCCCTGCCGATGCTGCTGTTCTGCTGTTGACGTGGTTGCTGTTGCTGCTGTTGGTGTTGGTGTTGCTGATACGGTTGATGTTGCTGCTGATCGTTATTAACGTCGGTGACGGGTGGTTCTCTGACGATCAATCGATCCACTCGACTGTCCCAACAATGGCCGCACTGCGCGTACGGATGCTCTTTGAAAGAGACCGACTCCACAACGAGAATCACTCGTGCGTACAACCGTTTGTCCGTGACGAAGGTGTAAGTGCAAGAAAGATCAGCCGGCGGATCGCCCGGTCGCTTGTAAACGAGAGTATTCAGAGGCGATCGGAATTTACCGGAGCGTTCTTTCCACGAGGCGAACGTTTCGTCGCACTCGGTTCCAGGCACAGGCACGCCGAACCTCGTCGCGTTGAAGAAATCGTAATGCGCCCAATAATACAACGAGCTGCCGGAGTAACTTCCCGTTTTGCTCTCGAACTTCACGAACAAAGCGTTCGAGCTGGAAACGAAATCGTGCTTCTCCATCGGCTTGCTGAACGTGTCGCAGAATGTTTTGATGATCTTCGCGTCGTCCGGCCAGTCAGCGTCGTACAGAGTTAAACTCTCGCCGCAGTCGCCGTCGTACGGTTGTATCGGCGACTCGATCCGGTTAACACGGAAACTCGGGAAATAGAGCCTGGCGATTTCGCCCGGTCGTCCTTTCAGAAGATAAGTGCAACTGGTATACGGTGGATACCAGTGCGCGACCGACAGGAATATTCCTTCGTTGCCGCTGTGCAAAGACTCGCTGTTCAACAGCCAGTCGCAGCTACCGTTTCGAACACCGGCCGTTTCTACGTGACCTGGCCAGTTGCCAACGTTAAAATGGAAACCGGTGTTTAAGAGAGGCCCTGCCGGTGACGAGACAAACTCCACGTAGAGATCTTCGCTGGTGCCGATTATGCTGTAGGGGAACTTTCCCATACCGCAGAAAGTGCCGATCGCCGGGCTGTTCTCATCTTTGCCGTCGTAAACGCGTATGTAGTCGTACGGGCAATGCTCCGTGCCAGAGCTTATCGGCCTCATCGGGCAGGTCATTATGTTCTCGCATCTTTGCCCGTCGATATTGAACTCTTCGTTCTCGATGTATAGCTTTATAAAAGGCAGCCGTGTGTTCAGCCGGTATTTGCAGTGTAACGCGCGCGGATAAATGCCCGGGTATGCGGGGCTCTGCACGTAACACGTTTGTAGCCTGCAATCTTTGAACACTCGTTCGCAATAGCTGCCGGGTACAATCTCGCCCCTTCGATTCGGATAGAGTTCCGGATGTTGGCCGTATCTTAAATATACCTCGAACTGTTGCTCGGCGCGGGAGTCGAAACTGAAGTATGTTTGATCGGTGAAGTTATCCGCGTGGAATATCACACGGACGAAACTCGTCTCGGAAATAAATGTTTGCGGTTGCTCCGACTCGCCGCAATAAACCCCTGGATCTTTCCGATTGCTCACTTCTGTTTTCGTGTTTCCGTCTACGATCTGCGAACGAGAGCATCTACGTCAGTGAAAACAGCGTTTTC